GGGGTTGCTCCACTTCCTGTTCCATCAAGACCTTGGGGGTCAATTTCTATGGATTTTGTAGTCAAATTACCTCCCTCAAAAGAAATGACCACTATCTTGGTAGTCGTCGACCGTTTTACTAAGATGGATCATTTTATACCTGCTAAGAGGGTACCTTCTGCTGAACAAGCTGCAGAGTTGATGGTCCATGATGTTTTTAAACTACATGGAATTCCTGATGATGTGGTATCTGACAGAGTAGTACAGTTCACATCAAAATTTTGGAAAAGCTTTTGTTCAGCTTTAGGGGTAACAGTTAACCTGTCCTCTGTTTTTCATCCTCAGTCTAATGGTCAGACCGAGAGGACCAATCAAACTTTGGAGCAGTACCTTCGGTGTTTTGTCAGTTATCTTCAGGATGACTGGGTGGACTATCTACCTACGGCAGAGTTTGCCTATAACAATGCTAAACATAGCTCCACCTCCCAAAGCCCTTTTTTCCTCAATACGGGGTGTCATTCAGTTTTTATTCCTGATCTCCCTTTCGCAACTCAAATTCCTGCTGTTGCCGACAGATTAACTACATTGTAGTAGATTCAGGCGAAGTTGTTCGAGACTTTGGGGGAGGCTCAGGAATGTTATAAAAAGGCTGCGGGCGACAAGGTTTGGCTATCAACCAAAAATCTGAAGGTTCATGTTCCATCTGCAAAGTTGGGCCAAAAGTTTGTGGGACCTTTCCAGATTTCTGCTCAGATCAACCCAGTCACCTTTCGCTTGACAGTATGAAGAGTCACCCTGTTTTTCATGTATCGCTTTTCAAAACCATTTCATGAAAATCCTTTCTCTGGAAGAATTCTTCCACCTCCTCCACCTGTTGAGGTACAGACTGAAGAAGAATATGTGGTGAAGAAGATTCTTGACTCTAGGTTGTTTAGAGGAAAATTGCAATATCTTGTCCAATGGGAAGGATATGGGCAAGAGGAAAATTCTTGGGAGCCTGAGGAAAATGTTCATGCTTCTAGATTAAGAGAATTCCACCAGAGGTTTCCCCACAAGCCTGGTCCTAAGATGTCCAGTGAGGAGGGGAGTGGCAATGTTTCTTCTTGCTGAGCCACCTGGAATGCTGGACAGTTCCCTTGACAATTATTTGGATGATCCTACCTTGACCTTGTTTATCATGAACCTTGAACCCCTTGCTCCTCCCATGAAATTCCTGATATAAACCATGTCTCTCCACTTCCTGTTTGCCAGATTATTGTGCTCTCCAGCCAGTACCGTGATCCTTATAATCTCTGCTGTTATCCGTATTTTGCTATCACTCGTTATTGACCCTTGGAAACTGTCAAAAACTTCTGCTAGGGCCAGATCTAGAGTGTATACATATTACCCTGTCCACTCTGTGAGGCTCTAGTGTTTTAAGCAACAGAGAGTGACCAAGACAAAGAGGGGAAGGACCTGTGCCCTGTATTAAATTCCAAGTTTAGGAATTTGCAGGTAAGTCACAATTTCTATTATCTTGATTGTACAGTACATGACATAGGACTGGTATCCATAGACCATGGGGCGTACCCAAGCAATAAAACTGAGGGGTACAAAACAACTTAGTAAAATGGAACTGTGACCCGGCCAAAAGAAAATATAAGGGTTTAAAGAATGCAAACAAATTACTTAGATAACAGCTTGAAGCTTTTTTTCATCTAAAGCTCACATTAGATGCAGGCAACTTGGTGGCCTGAACATCAACCTGAGGGACGAAACTTGGAAAACATGTGAACAGAGGACCATGTGGTGGCTGGAATACAGATGCTGAAAAGACTAGGAGAAAGCTTTGGTAGAATAGGCTTTGATGGGCAAGGAAGGAACTATTTCCTTAGGGGTGTAGACTCTAACAATTAATTGTCTGATCCACCTGACAATGGTGGAGTTGGAAGCAGCGTACTACATTAATATCTCCAAGTAGAAAAAAAAGGGACTCCATCTTGCGAAAAGAGGATGTGGCTACCAAGTAGACTCTAACTGCCCAACCACATCCAAACAATGTAAGGCAATTTTCTTGTAATGTTTTGGAACAGAACTGTGAGAAGGGAGGACAATGTCCTTAATGAGGTAGAAAAAGGAGATCACTTTAGATAAAAATGAAGGTTTAGGTCTCTAAACCACCTAGTCCTTGTGCAAAATAAGAAAAGACTCTTTACAAAAGTGAGCTGCCTACTCAGCTGAACAGATGTGATGACAACAACAAGGCAACCTTAAAGGTGAAGTCTTCCAACAGAATGTTTCTAATCAGTTCTAAGCCTCTGAAGAGAAGAAATCCCAATGTGACACGGAAGATTGAATTGAGTAAATTGGTTTTAACAGCCATGCCATTAAAGTCAGCAACTGAGAAGCAGGATGGAACAGAGGGTCTTTGACTAGCAAGTCTGGTCTATTTGGAAGAGGCCATGGCTCGCCTGGCAGATGTCTGATTATGTCTGTGTATCACATTCTTGTATGTCAATAGGAATTACCAGGGCCCTCTTCTCTAATCTTGTGCAGGTATAAACCAGTTAGAACTGAGTCCAAGAAATCACCAGGGCATTTATTGTGAAGGATAGAGGATCCCTGGTCTTGACCATTAATGTTTTCAGCTTGTTGTTAAAAATGGGTCCTAAAATGTCCACACCTTAGAGAGAGATTTTGCATGATCTCGGGGAGCAGAGACTGCTCTCCCAGATCTAGGCTTTAAAAGATTAGGAAATCCGCCTGCCAGTTGTCCACTCCTGAAATGTGGATGGCACTCTGACCATGAGATTTTATATTTGTTTCTTTTAGGTCTAAACTTTTGGTTCCTCCTGTGATGATGCTACAGGCATCATCCTGTATTATTTCTTTCAGCTGGCAGTCAGCTTAGCTTTCATGTAAAAGCAATCCTAGTGGACAATTAGCTGCTGAATCGTTTTTACAAGTGGGAATGGACATCCCCCCCCCTCCTGCCACCTTCCACAGTTTTCTTGGGCTCTCCTGTCTCACAGGGGAATTCGAGAATGCAGCCAGTAGTTCTGCTGGCTGACCATAGAGCTGATCAGAGACATGAATGACTCCAATCATCGCTATGGTCTGACAGACCAATGCTACGAGCATTTCATCATTTCCGTTTCTCTGGACTGTAACCGTGCCATTTTTAAATTGGGAAAGCATCTGATCACACCAATCATGATGTAATCAGATGTTTTAAGGGCAGAGGAGATATCTAATATACCCCAGATTTCTCAGAAAAGAATACCTCTCTCTGTCTATTGCTATCACAGCATATCCCCTGTGACAACAATAAAAGTGATAAAAAAAAAAGAAAGGGACAGTGCAAAAAAAAAATCACCCCTGCTCCTCCCCCCTTTCCATGCTCGTGCGCAAAGGTGAATGCAAGCGTTGGTCCCATGTCAGTATGTAAACAGAGATTGCATCATGTATGTGAGGTATCACTGTGAATGTCAGATCGAGGGGCAATATTATAGCACTAGAACTCCTGTGTAAATATAAATTGGTGATCTGTAAAGGCTTTTAAAGCATAACCTATCGATATTAAATTACTTTGTCGTCATTGCACAGGCATGCACAATTTTAAAACATGTCATCTTTGGTAACTATATACTCGGCGTAACATCATCTTTTATAGTTTATCAAACAATTGGGCAATATATTGTGTTTTTGTGCATTAAAATTCTTTTTTTTCCCAAAAGATTTGTGTTTGAAAAATCGCTGCGCAAATACTTTGTGATGTAAAAAATTTCAACACCCACTGTTTTATTCTCTAGGGCTTCTGCTTTAAAACATATATATATAATGTTTGGAGGTTCAAAGTAATTTTCTAGCAAAAAAAAAACATTTTTTCATGTGAATAAAAAGTGTCAGAAAAGGCTTGGTCTTCAAGAGTGGGTGATGTGTGGCATAAGCTTTTATAGATGGCCCTGAAATGCCAGGATAGTAGAAGCAACCCCTCAACTGACCCCTTTTTTGGAAAATAGACACTCCACGGTATTTGCTAAGAGGCATGGTGAGTATTTTGCAGATCTTATTTCTTGCCACATGTTTTTGGAAAACAAAGAGAACAAAAATGTACTTTTTCTTTTCTTTTTCAAAAGAAAAGAAAACTGTGACAAAAATGATATCTGTAAAATACTCACCATGCCTCTATCAAATTCCTTGGGGCGTCTACTTTACAAAAAGTGGTTATTTGGGGGGGGGGGGGGGTGTTTGTACTATCCTGGCATTTTATAGCCTCTACGAAACTGTGATAGGTAGTGGGGAAGTGATATTAGGAAATATGTCCTTTGAAAGACTGGAGGTGGTCATTGGATTTTGGGGGCCTGTATGTAGCTAAGGTACCAAAAAGTGTCTCACATGTGGTATCCCCATACTCTGGAGAAGTAGAAGAATGTGTTTTTGGAGGTAATTCCACATATACCCATGACATGCAACTTTATGTAAAAAGAAAAAATTGTCAGATTCTAAAAATTTGTACCAAAAATTAAAATGTTCCATGGACTCAACATGCCTCTCTGCAAAATCCTTAGGGTGTCTACTTTCCAAAAAGGGGTCATTTGGTGGGGGGTTTGTACTGCCCTGGTATTTTAGCACCTTAAGAAATATGATAGGCAGTCAGAAAGTAAAAGCTGTGAAAATTTCAGTATATATACCATAGTTTGTAGACGCTATAACTTTCACACAAACCAATTAATATACATGTATTGGGATCTTTTTTTACTAAAGACGTGTGGAAGAATACATTTTGGCCTAAATTTATGACTAACTTTGAATTTATTGGATATTTTTTATAACCTTCCGGAGGGCAAGTGGTTAGAGTGTTAAGATACCCTGGACCCTATATTCACTATATCCCACAGTACCCCGAACATGGAAGTGCAATTATTTTAGTAAATATAAACTGCTAAATACCTTTTCCCATCAGCAGTTAGGGTAGTCTTGTGTCTTCTATCAGTATCCAGCAGAGCACTGGGTAAAACTTGTAGAAGGAGTTTTCATTTTGCTCTAGGATGATGCAGAACTCCTTACCTCTGTCTGGACAGTGCTGATTGGCCCTGTGCTGATCACATGCACTCTCCCAAGACAACAAAAAAAAACCTCTCTAGTAATACACACCAAACTGATCATGTGCAGAGTGACTCCACACAATATGTCTTATCAGGAGATAAGAGGAGGACACTGGTAGAAAGTGAGGATCAGAGAAATCAGGATCAAACAGCCTTTTACAATGCAAAGGATTAACCCCTTAGGTTCCACAGTGAGAATAAAAAACATGCTTTACTGCATATACAGACTGATTTTTACTGTTGTGGGTTTAGTAATACTTTAAATTTGTTTTTTGGGGGGGTGGATTTAAGTGTGCTGGTGTTACTTTTATTTTTTTACAATTTTTTTTTACTAAAACTTTATTTATATCACATAGTCTCATATGTGTCATAGTGTTGTTGTGCCAGGCTCTCTTTAAGGAGACATCATTAAAGTCTTTTAGACCCGTGATGGCTCACATGCCCTTTATTGAAGCTAAGAGAGCAGAGAAAATGCATGTATACCACACTTCACACAGTATAACCTCTTTTCTATTTTAAGAAAAAAAATTTACTTTTTCATCCACTTTAAGGAGCGATGGTGTTCATATTGTAGGGGGTTATGTGTTGCAGATTTTTGGCAGATTTCGTCTATAAAGAATGAAAGCATTTGTGCAACTAGAATCCAAGTTTGTGAGTGTAGATATGAAGCATAAGCATCCCCCACTGCATGTGATACATCATCTTTAACCACATTTTTCATTTAATATACATGATGCTAGTAAAATAAATACCTAAAATATGTTCCGTAACAATTCCATGTCATACATTAAGTTTTTTTTTTTCCTTCTCAGTATCTAACATGCTTTTAAAGTAGTGTGCAGAGGTAATTTTTCACTCTACTCTACTAAAATCACAGAAACATGAAATAAAAATATATTTAGTATAATTTGTTCATTTGACATTTACAAGGACCAATAATAGAAGCTTTGTAAAATGAGTCTAACTTCCTGAAAGTGGTTTCTTACACAAAGCCTCTTTCTCCCAGCTAAACCCCAAGCTCTTTGTGTGTACTGAGACACTCCGTGGCATAGATTGCCAAGTGATATTTAACAGTGGATGTGGCTACGTTATTTATGTCTAGTATGTGGGTGTTATGAGGCCCATTAGAAAAGGAAATCAGGGTGGCTATTTTTGTTAAATCGGCTTCTGGATGTGCAACATCTGCCACAACCTTCTCAATAATTAAAAATAACCAATCATAGGTTGATTACCATACAAACCATTTAAGCAAAACAAAGCAAGGGGTATCAACTGTAAATTGTTCTCTCAGGTTTTATTAACGTTCTCGAATGTACTGTGATCCAACATCATGCCTATAAAAACAGTTTGACCTGAAAACGTAAGCAAATTGGGGATCAGAATTATGGTACAATAACCTATAAATTATAGAAACTAAATACTGACTAAAGCAACACTAAACTATATGGAAAACATGACGTTAACCTACATCTCAAGAATTTTTAGCTTTAGATTGAGTAGACAAGAGCTAGAGCTCCTGTCATGTTTTTTTTCTATGTGTGTCCCCATTAGGGTGATTCACCCTCTAAAAATAGAGGAAAAAAATTCAACTATGAGTTACCAGAACTGGAGTAGAGAGTAATTTTTATGGGGGACACTTGTTCTGGTGGCAGCTGCCTAAGAGGGGATTTCCAGGATGGAAGTATAGAGTAAGCCCTCGAGGGAGGAGTGTTCAGCTTTGGCTTCACTGCTATCATTTATTTATTTATTATTATTTATTTCAGGTACTTATATAGCGCCGTCAATTTACATAGCGCTTTACATATATATTGTGCATTCACATCAGTCCCGAACCCTCAGGGGGCGTACAATCTAAGGTCCCTAACTCACATTCATACATACACATACTAGGGCCAATTTAGACAGGATCCAATTCACCTACCAGCATGTCTTTGGAGTGTGGGAGGAAATCAGAGTACCCGGAGGAAACCCACACAGGCACAGGGAGAACATGCAAACTCCAGGCAGGTGGTGCCGTGGCTGGGATTCAAACCAATGACCCTAGTACTGCCAGGCGGAAGTGCTAACCATTTAGTCACTGTGCTGCCCATGCTATATGCTATCATGGGTTCATTTGGACAAAAAGTTCCCAGCTTCACTACCAGAAATAAGGAACAACCTAAAATGCAGTGCATAACCTTTTTCTTGGTCAGCTAGTCATTGGAGGAAGTGGATACCCCAGATCACCTTTTTTATAAAAGTGTAGGATTACAGCAGCCATATTGTCAGTGTGCATGGGAATTATTAAGGGGAACTGACAATATTTATTTTGGCATTGGTTCATGTACCCAATAGCAGTGCCGGGCTTCCCATGCCTTTTTCTTGACAATAGCTTGCTTATTAGAGCTACAAATGGCTAAATATGAATTAATAAAATTCATCCCCATAGACAGTTGTGTTCACGACAAAATTGACAGACTCGAGTAAGATTTGCAAAACTGTTTCCAAACTGGGTCCATGCAGGTTCACTTATCCCTACTCTCAATTGGAAATGTATAGCGAAAATAAATCCTGACAGTTTTCAACCATTTTCTTCCTAATAAATCATCTGAAAAAGCTTTGGTATAGATACACTTTAACTAGGATACCTTGGCAAATCTTTTTAAAGTTTACCAATTTCTAGGGCACGCTGTCATCCATCTGCTCTGGTGCATTAATGTGTTGTGTCAAGGCAGCTGCCAACACACCAAAACGGAAGAAAAACAACCTGCATCTTTTTTTCATAGCAGCATACCACAATGCACAGAAGTGTGTTACTATGCATTGTGGTGCACTGCAATGCATGTGCATTGTGAACATTCTTTTTCAACAGGCAGCACAGAGGCTAAGTGGTTAGCACTTCTGCCTAGTGCTATGGTCGTTGGTTCAAATCCAAACCAAGGCACTACCTACCTTGAGTTTGCATGTTCTCCCTGTACCTGTGTGGGTTTCCTTTGAGTACTCTGGTTTCCTCCCACACTCCAAAGATATGCTGGTAGGTTAAATGGGTCCTGTCTAAAATGACCCTAATATGTGAGTTAGGGACCTTTGATTGTAAGCTCCTTGAGGGCAGGGACTGATATGAATGTATAATATTTGCCAAAAGTGCTGCGTAAACTTATGGCGCTATATAAGTACCTGTAACAATAAAATAAATGGCACCTCAATGCATCAACACCCATGACGCATGTTATCACAAAGCAATAGTGTGAAACCAGCCTTAAAGCATTATTAGAAATATTTTACAAACACAAAATTTAAATGCAAAAAAGTGGGTTAGAATATTTGTTTTAAAATACAATAATGTTTAAAAATAATAAAAAGTAAAGTTACACAAGTGTCCTGAAAGAGTGTGAAACCATAAGAGGTAACATAATTGTGTCATTTGTCAGTCCATGTTTAGCCTACTGGCTCACATGGCTATACTTTGTCATTTTTCACACAAGAGTGCTTTTGTTCTGATTACAAAAAGTCTTACATCATACCCAATTTAATAACTAGGAGTACAAGTTAAATACATGTACAACATTCCTTTAGACAGGGGAAATCCCCATTGTTGACCTGATTTAATAAAATGGTTTCAAGTGGATCAGTCCTGGAAATTGTCCATAGTGTGCTTGTCATCTGAAATACTCATACCTGAGTTTATCGCTTTATATTACACAGTGATATTTTTATCCACCACAAATAATTTTATTTCTTTGTAAGTACTTTTACAGACTTTCAAGTTCCTGACACAGCAGACAGGATATTCCATGCTTAAGTGGATATATAATATATATATATATATATATATATATATATATATATATATATATATATATATATAAACTATTTGTAAAATATTGTTATAAATTGTTGTTTTTTGTTTTTTTTGCTCTAGGACAAGTGATGTAGGCTTAATCAGTAAGTCCAGTCAATACAAGGGATGTGTAATTTGAGAACTCTTATGCTCGTATTCCTGACTTACTTCATATTTAGTTTGAGTCACTTATTCTCTTGGGCTTTATGTTGAAATGGCACTAAGTACAATTTCCAACCTTAGGCTAGTGCCTCACCTGACATATGGTTTGTTCACATGGATCATTCAATACACATTAACAAGCTTGCTCTGCTTAGCATTGACCTGAACGTTGCATTAGAACTACACTGGTCCATTGACGTTCATTGCTTCCCCTGGCAGGCCCTCCCACATTGAGAGCATGTAAATGACGTTCATTGCTTCCCCTGGCAGGCCCTCCCACATTGAGAGCATGTAAATGACGTTCATTGCTTCCCCTGGCAGGCCCTCCCACATTGAGAGCATGTAAATGACGTTCATTGCTTCCCCTGGCAGGCCCTCCCACATTGAGAGCATGTAAATGACGTTCATTGCTTCCCCTGGCAGGCCCTCCCACATTGAGGAGAGCATGTAAATGACGTTCATTGCTTCCCCTGGCAGGCCCTCCCACATTGAGAGCATGTAAATGACGTTCATTGCTTCCCCTGGCAGGCCCTCCCACATTGAGAGCATGTAAAAGCTGAATAGAATACCACAGGAACACAGATGACGGATTCACTTCCCTAACATAGTTAAAGATCCCTTCCAGTCAAAACCTATTTTAATCATAAAGTAGAGAAAAATGAGAATCCCTTGTCATGTTTTACTATTATAATATAATATATTTAATATATTCATATTTAGTTTGAATCACTTATTCTCTTGGGCTGTATGTTGAAATGGCACTAAGTACAATTTCCAACCTTAGGCTAGTGCCTCACCTGACATATGGTTTGTTCACATGGATCATTCAATACACATTAACAAGCTTGCTCTGCTTAGCATTGACCTGAACGTTGCATTAGAACTGCACTGGTCCATTGACGTTCATTGCTTCCCCTGGCAGGCCCTCCCACATTGAGAGCATGTAAATGACGTTCATTGCTTCCCCTGGCAGGCCCTCCCACATTGAGAGCATGTAAATGACGTTCATTGCTTCCCCTGGCAGGCCCTCCCACATTGAGAGCATGTAAATGACGTTCATTGCTTCCCCTGGCAGGCCCTCCCACATTGAGAGCATGTAAATGACGTTCATTGCTTCCCCTGGCAGGCCCTCCCACATTGAGAGCATGTAAATGACGTTCATTGCTTCCCCTGGCAGGCCCTCCCACATTTAGAGCATGTAAAAGCTGAATAGAATACCACAGGAACACAGATGACGGATTCACTTCCCTAACATAGTTAAAGATCCCTT